ATTGTTTTTCTTTTTTGAAAAAAAAAAAACAAAGATGGTTATCTAGTGTTGTAACTAGTAATTGAGTCTCAATATTGATGGTGATGGATAAAATAAGCATATTATAAGTTAGACTATCCAAGGATTCAATATCTTAAAATTTTGAATCAAGATATGGTGTGGAGCTCATTTATTATTATTGAGCTAACTTATCCCATTTATAATAATTTTCCTCCACCATAGCCTCCTCTAGACCCTCTAGCTTCTGGTCTAAGGTGATCGTTTTGGCTTAGGCTAAAATCCAACTAACAGTTACCACTATAGCACCGGTTCATGTGTGCTATTTTACTATTATTATTATATTTATGGGATTAAAGTATCTACTGTAACTTCAGATAAGGATCTTTACTGTTCAATTAAACAACGACGTTTTGGTCTTCTTCTTTTTTTTAAATCACATTTCTTATCGTTCGTTCTAAAGAACTTTGAAATGTTAATACAGAATTCGCGTTTGACGCCAAATTCTACAACCTAATTCAAGTATCACGGTATAAGTACGAGCATTGCACAGCATTTGAACCTCTAAAGGTATTCAACAATAGCCCAGCAATTCTTCCATTGAAGGAAAAAGGTAAGTTATTCTTCATATGCACCATCTCAAACTATTGTTGTCTAGGCCAGAAGATTGCCATTTTTGGCCATGATCAGGTACCAAGCCTCTGCCAAAAAAATAAGACCACGGGGAAGCAATTCAGATAGCGGGTGGCTGGATGATGAGCTTCCTAGATGGGGGGTTGACAGTCAGGAAGCAAGGTGAGTAGAGAGAGGCATAAGATCTTGTTGTCATAGAAAAGGGTGGTAGAAAGATGGGGGTTTTCAATATTATCAGGATCATTCAATGTAAAGGAGAGGCCAATATCCCACAACCAAAATCCAGACTGATAAGAAGCAAAAGCCTCCATCCACACTCATTACACAGCTAATACACAACTCACAATCCTGTGGTCACCCCATCAAGTTGGAAAGAATGGCCCATTCACACCATGGGGTAAACGAAGTAACAAACCAAGTCTTAATACCCCTTGGAGCAAAGGAAATCCCATTTCTAAAAGCCAGGATGACAAGAGAAGATACCCTCCACTATAAATGGGAGGAGTTTCATTTCTCACACCTAGCCAACAGGAGACTCATGCTCATGCATTACATTTGCTATCTGGTCTTATCGAACAAACCTCAATATAAAAGAGTTATGGTATTGTACTAAGGTGCACATGAAGCAAAAATATGATATCACTGGATAGTAATAGTATCAGCTTATAGTATCTGGTCCTTCTTATATAATGAACCAAACAATGCCTCAGAGAGCACATGGGTCTACCTAGAACTAGAAATGCCAGTTGAGTCAAGCTAAAAGCACTGTAGGCTCACCTTAGTGCAAACAACAGCAACAACTACAACAAAAACAAAAGTTTTCCCCTTAGGAGCGATTAGCTACAGAACAATACCCTTGTGACTTGTGTAATGTCAAAATTAAGTTTTCTAAAAGGCATATAGGTTAAGTTTTTTTCATGGTTTCTCTTAGAGTTTTCCTTGGTCTTCCTCTACCTTATTTATTGGGTTGTCCTCCATCTGGCTTGGCATTTATTAATTAGTCTTCTCCACACATGGCCAAATCATCTTAGGTGAGATTCTGTCATCTTTTCCTCCACAAATGCGACTCTTGCTTTCTCTCTAATACATTCATTCCTGATATTGTTTAGTTTTACATTGGCTATCAATTGCATAACACAACTCTTCTCTTAATAAGGAAGCGCACAAAGAAACAGCGATATGAGAGACGAAGACGACTATCGTTTATAAATAAGGAAGCGCAAATAGTTCGAAAAGACGAAACAGGCATGCGAACAATAAGAAATTTGATTTAAAAAAAAGAAGGACCAAAACGTCGTCGTTTAATTGAACAGCAGAGATCCTTATTTGAAGTTACAGTAGATACTTTAATCCCTATATTTATTACATATTCGTATAAATTCAAATCAAATAATTCAATTAGCTATTCATTAATCTAATATTTCAACTAAGTTATCCGAGTTTAATAATATTAGTTCTCTCCTACCATAAACTCTCTTGAACCCACCTAACACCTAAACTGTTCATAAGCTAATAATGAGTCAAAGGCATACATGGGAGGAACATAATATTTGAACTTATTCACCGAAAGAACAAGAATCAAAATAAAGCTTGCGCTAAATCAGTAAGGCTAGAATTTCACATTTAATTAAGGTTAAGAACATTACTAAACCCACCTAATACCAGTCCTTGGCAACATCCAGCTCAGTTTATTTCGTGCACTAGTCAAATCAAAAAAATTCTCTGTATATTTCTCTTTTTATAATAGCTGTGATTGACATGAATCCTCTTTAATTTAATAGAATGGTCTATAAAATAGATTCACTTAAGTTTTTTTTGGTTAAATTAATTTTTTATATGATATCAGAGCTTTGTGATCAAGTGATTATAAGTTCGATCTTCACCGCTCTCATTTAATTAATAAATAATTAAGTATTGTGAAATTTTTTAACACAGATAGGCTGAACATGATATATTGTCCACTTTTTAAATTTAATAAACTCTCGTGTAAGAAAAATATAAACCTCATCCAACAATTTAAGCTCTTGAATTGAATCAATGATGTGTTATTGGTCTATGGTCCCTTCCTCCTAGTTCAGTTAAGCCACATTGGCGTCTTTCTCTGTAAGATATAGCTGTTCCTTCCTATTAAAACGTGCACTGTGCAACTAGTTTCAGTTTCAGCCCCTTCATGTTAATTCCAAAGCACCAAAACGACAAAGAAATGTGTGGTCCCTCTTTCTCTCAAAGCAACACATGCTTCACTATCCCATATAAGCTGAATTGGAAGGTACTATTAAGTTTTTGTTACATAACTCTTTACTCTTGTCTGTTACAGACTAAGTTGGCTAGTACACACATCAATTATTTAAGGGTCCTACTTGAGTGATGATCAGAAAAGCTTTGATCTGTACAAAGTTAATGGCTTGGACTCTTCCTTTCGTTCTTGCTCTTTCTGTAGACCTCTAGAATGGGAGAGAAGGAATTTGCTGCAACTGTGAAAAAACTTGAACTGAACAACACACAATGTAGTTCAGTTAATGACAACAATAACTCGAGGAGCTTAAAAACATGGCATGGTATTCTCAAATTTTAGATAAAATTCTCTAAATCTTAGAACAAATGAAAGCAATGCACTTACTGATGGAATGTGAATTCCTCAGATGTCTTAAGGGTTAGAAAATGCAGTGTGTTAATTGTCCTTGAAATTGGTATAACTAACCCTCGATGCTTCTGCATAGTTAGCCCTATAAATTAATGACAAATCACATGTTTGTTTTTAAGTTTTTTTGTTTTTCACGCTGCTGTCATTTAACATTATTGCCGACTTCAATAGTTGTCCGCCTCAGGACCACAGAATACCCAAGGATAATGTACTTATAAACAACAGCAACCAATGTGTAATAATTGAAAGATTTACCCCAATGTTTATTAGCTGTCAGGAATTAATTAGAGCCTGCCCAAATCATAACGAAAGCTTTTTTAAGAGCGTAACATGATTCACACAACTTGTTTTCCTTTTCTCAGGACAATAAACTCATCTGCACATTCAAAATATAACAAACTGAACCAGCTGTGACCAACTTATGTAAAGGGTAACTTGGTCATTTCGTGGATTTCTCTTCAATCTTTAACTCAGTTGTCACATGCTCATAAACTACTCTCATGTGGCCACATGCTTGGGACTCTCCTCCATGTTAAGTCCCTGCTTGCAGGGGGAGTCAAATTAACAATCCTATCTTTCTTTGACTAAGAAGTTTGATTTTAATATATAATGAGGATCTTTAACCTTATTTGTTAAGCCTTCATATAACTTGAAATAATGTAATCAATCCCCATCTGTCTTTAGCATTGTATACTTTATGCGCAATGCAAAGGACAGACCCCCATATACATTCACTTGATCTTGAAAATGTTTACCACTGATATCATCACATGAAGTTGTTGTTTCAATTAGTGAGATAATTTTTTCTTAATGTAAATTTTTTTAGTACTTACAATTCGACATTATTGATGTTTCTTGCAGTCTCCAATCTTAAGATAAGTTTGACTCAAATCTGAAAAGTTTTTCTTCTTTTAGCAGTTCAGGATTCAAATATATATCTTTTTAACCAAACTAATTTGTTTTGATATTACAATTTTTTGAATTATAGAACTCTGTTCTGACTTCCAAGTGACATTGATCATACTAAATCTATGTGGAAGCGTAAAATTTTTTATGGTACTTGGTAATACCCTCCATAAATTTTAAAATTTTCTACTCCTTTCACTCTATTTATGCAATGAATAAATTTTTGATACTACTGCTGTACAAAAATTCAGTACATCTCATCAATGAAAATATTACATGTCAGTTATTTTTTTTTTTTCTGTCAACTTTTTTTTCTCTCTTCTGATGTGTAATGTTATCATTGATAGAATACACTAAATCTAAGTACAGCAATAGTACTAAAGATTTATTCTCGGTGGTAAAATAAAATGGAAGAATTAAAAAAAAAGCAGTAGTAATTAATGTAATAATAAAGCATGCTGACACAAGGGAAAAGACTTTGCATGCACAAAGAATGCCTAATGAAAAAGCGTTTGTCTTTTACTTCCCAAGGCGTCCATGTGCTGTCCCTATATTCTAAACAGAATCATAGGTCACTTGTTTCGGGTTTACCAGACCATTTGATTTTAATAATCTCACCGTCCTGACAGTTAAAAGAAGAGAGATTAAAAATTAAATGTAACATTAAAGCACTCTCTTCTCCTTTATAAGTCACAATCTCATGCATATGATAGATAGATAGATAGATAGAGCCTAAGCACTAAGCACATCTCTCTGTAGCCAAGTCCACCTAACTGCAGCATCTCATCTCTCCCTACCCCAAAACAGAAAGAAAAAAAAAAAAAAAAGATGGTTTCCCTTGAACCCGTTCAGGGTAACCCCAGATCTATTGATGCACCTTCAAGTCCTAGAATATCTTTCTCAGCAGAGTTCTTAGATGAGAATAACTTCATCTCCATCAGTCCAAACACTGAGCATGAAAAAGATAAAGACAAGGAACGTGAAACAACAAGGAATGCTGATTTTGAGTTCCTGTCAAACAACGTGAGTAACAATAACGCAGTGTTAACAGCTGATGAGCTTTTCTTTGAAGGGAAGCTCCTTCCCTTTTGGCAGATGCAACATCTAGAGAAGCTCAACAAGATAAGTCTCAAAGCCAAAGATGGAGAGGGAGAAGATAAAGAGGAAGAAGAGGAAGTGAGCAACAAAGAGGAGAATAGAGTAAATTGGTTTGTGGATGATGACCCATCTCCAAGACCACCTAAGTGCACTGTTCTATGGAAAGAGTTATTGAGGTTGAAGAAGCAACGTGCTTCTTCTTTATCACCCTCTTCTTCTTCCTCATCTTCATCCTCTTCTGCCAGCTCACTTGGTGATGTAGCTGCCAAAGAAGGGAAAGAAGGTTCAAGGAATAAAGAGCAGAATGTGAAGAGGTTGAAGAAAGGATTAGAGAGGACAAGGTCAGCTACTATTAGAATTAGACCAATGATTAACGTGCCAATTTGCACACAGTTGAAGAGCAGTGCCTTGCCTCCTCTTTTTCCACTTAAGAAAGGCAAATTAGAGCGGTGAACTTTTAAGATTATGGAGCTCAAGTTTATTTAGTTTGATCCTCAGAGTTGTCGAATAAGTTTGTTTTGTTTATTTCTTATATTTTTTTCCCCCATCAAATTATGTTGCCATGCTAGATTAGGTGTTAATTTGAGTGGATCTGAGAAATTACAATGTAAATTCTGACTTGTATAATCATTGGATTGTGCATTTTGGTGGATCTGAGAAATTACAATGTAAATTCTGACTTGTATAATCATTGGAGTGTGCATCACTTGAGACCAGTAATATTTTTCAGATTGTCTGGGTAGCTGGTTGAGGAGGAGTAATGTCACATGATAGATGCAGAGTTCCTCAATATGTGAGTCCCACATGGGCACCTATCAGCCAGACATCTGATCACGGACGCAATATTAATGACTAATGAACAGTAACACTATTTAGAGAAAGAGAATATAGAAAGCAATTTGAGTGTACACCTAACAGGCTAACAGCCTAACTAAAAAAAAGAAAATACATTTTTTAGTCCTTGAGAAAAAACACAATTCTCACTTTAGTAGCTTATAAAAATAAATTAGTCAGTTAGTCCCTAACAAATTTAAAGTGGACCCATTTAGTTAAAATCGTGATCCCTCACAAATTCAAAAAAGACTCATATTATTCCCTCAAAAGGACTAAAATGGGTTCACCTTAAATTTGTTATGGACTAATTGACTAATTTATTTTTGTAAAGTATTAAAGTGGGAACCGTGTTTTTTTTGTTAGGAATCAAAAAGGGTCTTTACTCTAAAAAAAATTATGTCAAGCATCTGAAAATAAAAATAAGTTAGAATAACAAGTGCATTCAGGGTAGTGGGATTGAACATAAGTTCAATAAATCAATAGCAGAACAAAATTAAAAGAAAACAGAAGCTAACGGCTATGACATATGAACCCTGAATTAGAGCAACCTTTGATTATGTAGCCTAAAGTATCACTTCAACCATGTATGAGCATACAGTGTGTGGGTAGGTACATGTTCACAAGTTCAAAATTCTAATTCTAATTCTAATTATTGGTATAGGACTTTTAAGAAATATCTTTGTGAACCACTTAAAATAGCTTGTCTTTTGAGTGCAAGGGGAGATGAACTAACCAAGATGCATACAAATTGACTCCAACACTACCAAAATGTAATTAAAAACAAAACTTGATTATATAATTAAGTGGTATATTCCAGAAGTGATCAAAAAATTAATAGGTAGAGATAAAAAATTAATATGTACATTAATTTACAGTGACATTTTTTAATAAATAAATGCTTAAAAAGGTTTAGTATATAAAAAATGGGTTCGCTTTTTCTGCAGTTACTGCAGATAAGTTATCTGCAGTAAGCCCAATACGTCGTTTGGGACGGAAATCATGGTGGTTGTGTAATTTTAATTTATTTCAGGGTTATAATAGTCTTTATATTTAAAAAAAAATTAGATTTCAATATCCAAATAACGTCGTTTTGAGAATAAAATAATTGCAGAAACATTTTTTCTATAAAAAATTGTCCACTAAAAAAATCTGAAATTGAATTACATCAATTCAATTCTCCTCATTAAGAATCAAGGATGATTGGACTTGTATGCTTCCAGAGTCTTCAATAAAAAATTGTCCACTAAAAAAATCTGAAATTGAATTACATCAATTCAATTCTCCTCGCTAAGAAAAATTATGCCCATAATACCCAAAAAATAAACGATATTAAGAAGGGGGTAACAGGAGAAAAACATCTCCAACAGACCCATAAAAAATCCCGCCCAATATTTTTTTTTAATGTGTTGGGTCCCGAAAAACTATTAATCCTATTAAATTAAAAAGAAAAAGTATTTCTCCAGTCACCGGAGATAAAATTATCTTCAATGAGTTCAAAACGACGTCGTTTTGGGCTCACTGGAGATAACTTATCTCTATTGACTAGAGAAATCCTTTACCCAAATTAAAAATAGCGAAATTATTTTCTTACGTTATGTTGTTGGAGATTGCTTTTTCATATTGTGAGGCATCGAAATCAATGCTATCTTCTTTTTATTTTTTTAACAAGTGGTGAAACCTATCACTTGTTGTGTCTATAGCATGAGATGTCGTGTAACACGAAAAAAGAGAAACTCTTAAAAATAATGGAGGCATATAGTTTTACAAAAAAAAATTCCAGTTTACCCGGACCATATGTTTCTTCTATTTAAAATTTGACATTTGGATAAAAATAAAAAAAACTCTCTCTCCTTCGTACATACATCACAAAAAATGACTAATTTTGATTGGTTCAAATCACTGAATGAATGGTGGTCCAGGAGCCCTCAAAATGTTCTCTAGTTTTACATCATCTTAGAGGGTCCAATAATTTTCTTTTATGAAAAAAACTACTCTCATGAAATATAAGAATATTTTTATCCCCAATAGGTCCATTGAAAATCATGACACTTTTTTTTGTTTTTGTAAATGGCGGGCCCACGCCACCACATATGTGTGGGGCAACACGAGTGATCGTGTCTCCTATACTTCTTTCATATATATCAGGATTTTCACATCATTTGAGGATGATATATATTGATCCACTGTAAACATGAAACCACGTGGCTTTACGAGATAAAAAAGAACACGACGATTACCCCAAAACCGGAACATGATACAAGAAAAACAAAAACTGCATAAAAAATTTCAATAAAATAATCAATAATGCCTATACAAGGATATGTAAGATACAATTTCAAATGATATTCCAGTTTTCATGAAACTGAGAATCAAACTTGAACCAATCTGAAATCTATATGCCCTCCAGCAGGCGAAGGCTGAAATGAAGTTTGATCTTCAATTGACGAGTTGACAATGAAGAACTTCCACCCAAATTAGAATAATCTAAGCACAAAAAGAATCAAAATATCTTGATAAAAGGAAAGTCTCAATCTTTACCATGGAAGGCACTAAGCAAATTCCTCAAGGTGCTGGAGGTGATAATAACTTATTTCCAGAAGTTCTGTTAATAAATATGGAGGAGTCAGCAAAGCAACAATTGTAAAACTCAATAGTGACAAGATGAATAGGTGTTGCGAGATACCTGAGGTCCAGTCCTGGTTTTCCAATGAGGTTTGCTGGAATTTGACCAGTTAAATTGTTGTTTTGTAAAAATCTGCAACAACAAATGGGGACCAATCAGGTACCAAGAAACAACAAAGGAAAGGAAGAAAATAACAGTGACATGCAATAGAACTGAAGAGTAACTGGTAGATCTTCCTTAAGAAGGATACATGACCAATATTAATGACCTGGTGTCGGTATATAAGCAAATCCTATTTTGTATGAAAGGACACAACGGCATTTCATGCTAATTAATTGCCTCACTCATGAGAAATAATTATTTTCGAACAAGAAGTAAGGTATAGGAAGAAACCAAAAAGTAGTAATTTGACAAGTACATCGGTCCAAGGATGGTAAAATTGGAGCGGGATAACGTACACAGGAAATAATTGTTGAGTGAAACATCTGTTAAATTCTCCAGGATATACGTTGTAAAAATAATTTCTCATAGTTTGCAATGCAGGCTAAAGTTAAAGAAAAGGTACATTAAATACATAGACGAACATGATTGCAGTTCTACTAAGTAATAAACGATCAAAAAACCTGATTTCTCTTATCCACAAAGATTAACAAACTTAATTTTTCTCATCTGTAAAGTTCAGATGGACAAATTTCTTAGATTGATTGTGCACTATTTGTGTCATGGTAGTAGATCTTTTTTCCTCAAAGGGGTAAAGTATGTCAATATAGATGAGGCAATAGGAGAGCCACCACAAGTGCATCTCAGGTGATGGCTGAGAATCAAGGGGAAGTATAGGGCACAATGTGGTAGTATTTAACAATATGATGGGTATGCAAAAGGTGTCGCTTCAATGACAAAAAAGGAGTATATATAGATGAAGATTCTCCAATGATGAATGAGAGAAAGTCGTGTTTTGCCCTTTTGCGTCCCACTTGGTGTGAAGTAAATATCTTCACTTGATGCAACTATGGGAAGTGATATTCAATAAGGGAAGTGCATGTGTATGGGAAGTGATATATAATAAGGGTGTAATTGTCTCATTTTAAGGATGCAGAGATTTACTTAACCCACTGTGCTTCAGAATTCAAACCAGTTATCCTTCAAACAACATTCAAAAAAAAAAAATATTTTTTATTTTTTTTGGGATATTGGAAAATATGAATTTAATAATATTGTTCACTAATTCTAATGTACATCGTGTACTATATAGACTAATCCAAATAAAAGGATGACAAAAGTAAAAGATGTGGAACTGATTACAATATTTACACCACTCTCTGTATCTCTTAGTGGGAATATCCTCCAAACAGCATTCTTGGGATCAGAGAACAGTTGCCCAAATGCTGCAAACCCTAGTCTTTTAAAAAAGGGAGCCACTAAACATAAGGGAAAGAAGCTAGCTCTGGCATTGAGCCTCTCAATGATCAGCTTGCTTGCTGGACATTTTTTATTTCTAGCATTTGGTTGCCTTAGGAATACAAAATCGTGGCTAGTTAAGCAAAATTCATACATCGGGTCCATGATGTTAAGCAAGCAACAATTGTCTAATTAACGACCATAAAGAATATATGGCATAGTAATTAGCCCGCTAACTAATTTGTTGAACCAAATTGTGGGTTATGCAAATGGCTGATTCATTGTCACAAAACAACTTTATAGGTCCTTCGCAACTTACTATGAGATCATTCAAGACAATCTAAATTTTTGGAAAAGCTGGTTCATGACACTAAATTTTCTCATAATACTTATATCAGGCCAAAGCCGAAACTCATTTAGTTATCAACAAATTTCTGTTCTGATGCTCCCTAATCTAAACAAGTATGATAAGATAGTAAGTAGATATTACTCATAACGATCATAATTTATAAGTAGCTTTGGGCCACATTCATGTAGACAATATAATTGATTGTATAGGCTGACTTAATTTTCTATAGATAAGTGAAACTATCGGAAAGTACTTGGAATGAAAAGGAGGAGGGTTAAAATAGCAAAGGAAAAGCAGTTTTCTTGTATCCTCTAGTATGTCTTAAAGAGGGCAGAACTTACACTTCTTGCAAGCTGCTGATGTTCCCTAGGGATGAGGGAATCTCTCCATTGAATTGATTGTCTTCCAAGTGCCTTAAAATACAATAACAATATGCAAATACTGAGTTCCATGAATACATTGGTTGTCTCAAATTTCAAGAATTTGGATGGTGCAAATAGCTATAGAGTATAGAGCATGACTTACTTCATGACACAAAGAACTACTTACAAGAATATCTGTTTCCATTTAATGAAAAAATGTAGACTAGCTATAGCTAATGATGCGATTAATCATATGCAGCAAGATAAACTATCATATCAGACTTTTTTTTAAAAACACACATAAAACTTACAGCGTCCGTAACATCTTTAGAGAACTGAGGTTTGGAATCTTTCCTGACAAACTGTTATTCCCAAGCCAGCTGCAAGAAGGCCATGGTTTGCAATCATAAAATTTTAAATACTAAAAATTTCATGAAGTGAAAAATTTGAACATAGAACCTACATGTTAGTCAGAGCTGTCATATTGGCAATAAAAGGTGATAAAGATCCTGAAAGATCCATACTCGTCAAGTTTCTGAAAACAACATGAAATTATAAGTTATTAGTTTACACACCACAATAGGATTGAAAGGACAAAGTATTATGCTATGACAACTCAATTCTGAGCTTACAAAGTCAGCACACGGATACGGGGACCTTCGGAGCATGTGATGCCAGTCCATGAGTACTGTGGAGGCCCACAAGGATCGCCATTCCAATCAAGTGGAGGATTTCGGAGGCTCTCTTTTACCCCTTCCAAAGCAATAACTGTCAAGAGAAAGTTCCCCATTTAAAAACCTTGCATGTTCACGACTAACATACAAGCACATTACAACTATGATGGAACATGTTAGGATTCGAAATAAAGAATAACCAGTCAAGCAGCGGATCCTAGTTTTATTTGAAGGGGCCCAAAGTTGAGATTATTTTAGGAATGACCCAAAGTTGAGCAAAGAAACATGAAATCAAGAACTATACCATCTTGAGTCAAAGTTCTTCCTCCAAGTGGCAGCACCTCAAAGACTTCACCAGCATTGATTAAGGGGCCCAAGGATGAACTAGCGGCAGGGGTCAAAGTTATTGTTGTAAGACCAGACAGAGGCCACTGGTTGGCAAAGACAACAACACCTGATGGGATGGCATTCAAATTGCGGTAATAAGTTACACCATTTACACTTATGTTAAAAATTCTTGATCCAACAGCATTGTCAGCAAAGTATAGAGCAACGTAGTATTTGGAAAGCAAGCTTGGAAGTGATGCCGTAGGCCATCTCAATTCCAAGGATTCCAATTGATCCGATCCTATATGTGTCTCAAAAACTTTCAAGGGTGGAAGATTCCAAAAACCAGAAACAGAAACATTGCCAGTGCTTGCTTTGGTAGAATTACTCTGCCCAAAAGGCTCCCAGATACGGTCAAACTGATCATCAGGATATCTGATTAAAAAAAACCACATATGCATTATTAGAGGTGAGGAAAAAGAAAGAAAGGAGAAGGAAATGCATTCGTTGGGGAAAAAAAAACTTGGTAACTCCAATATATTATTGGCGACAACTTATATATATAAAATCCTGAACTAATTTCAGTAGCTTGTAAGTTCTAACCTATGACATGCTCATTCACTAGTCTCTCTCATTTCTAAAGGTTACAGCACTTTCTCACTATATCATTGAAGGAGAAAATCATCTATGCGGTCAATTAATAACTTGAGGAGAAATTCATGGTAAAGCACCCCAACATAAGAGCAAACCGCAAAAACAACTTGAAAATTTTCACAACCTCCACGTTATAACCAGATCATTACATAATTCACACACACACACACATATATATATATAGAGAGAGAGAGAGAGAGAGCTTAATCACACAAAGATTATCAAACAATTGTTAATTAAACAAAAGGCATTAACTCTAAACACTGAGGGAACGGTAATGAAGAATAAAGCAAAGAAAGAAACATTTCCTACTCACCGAATGGGTGGTCCGGAGTTTCCAAAACTGTGCCTTGCAACCAGGCGGAGGCCAAACTGGCTGAAATCCGTGGTGTTGTACAGAGAACCCCCAAGAATCAAGAACTCCAAAGCAGATATAAACGGGTCAGAATCAGTATAATTATTTGACCCGATACACAAGCTCATGGTCTTCCCCTGAGCTAAGAAAACCCCTTCATAGAAACTAGCTTTGCCATTGGCATAATCCCCTGTGGTGTTCACCACGGCCCACAAGGTCCCATCGACGATCTGGTCAAACACCGGCGGCGAAGGGTGCTCCGGGCCGTTAACCCCACCGTAGAAATAGGTAGTCCGCACCATGTACTTTGCTCCGCGATACACAGGAACACGGTAACAGTGCTTCTTGGCTTGAAGTGGGAAGGAGCGAAGGGTTTGCAAAGTTGGAAGCAGAACAGGTGAGGTAACGTTTTTGGGTGTCCCCGTAGAGACAAAGTCCCAATCGGGAAGCCATGTGCGACCCTCGATTTGGATCCCAGAAAGGGCTCCACAATCAATAAGTAAACCTCTTGGGGGAGTTTGAGAGAGAGAAAGGGTGATAAAGGGTAAGAAGAGGAGAAGGGAGAGAAGGGACATGGTGGTGGTGGGAGTGAGTATCTCACGGTTAAGGTTAAGGTGGTTGTGTTTGGTTATAATGTTTAATTTGAAGGGGTCTTTGGAGTGGTAGGGAAGAAAACGTAAATGGAGAATGGGGAAGGTGGAAAGAAAAGAATAATAGTGAGTGACGCGGGAAACAAAGTTTACCGGTCAGACTTCAAAGACGGCACAAGACAGCACAACCGGCACTTACAATGTTGGATTTTTATTTTTTTAATTCAATTGAAGAACCGGTTGTGTTGCGCTTTGGTTGGGGGTAGATATAAAACATTATTGTTTATTATTGGCAGGCCTTCTTGATTCACTTTGACTTTTTATTTTGTTTGATTTGGTTGAGAGCCACTTCTATATTTCAATTTTTATAATCATCTTCGATAAATGACATTTGGAAAGAGTTTGGTCAGTTACTTTTTAAAAAAATGAAATTATGTATGGTTTAATGATTTTGTGTACCGGGTAAAGAGGGCGATTGAGTTTAACAAAAAAAAAAAAAAAAATGTAAACGTAAAACTGTTGAATTATTAGTGAGCAGAAAATGTTTCGATTCGATGTTATTTAGATTTAAACGTAATTCAGTAATGCGAAAAGTTAATTTTCTTTTTCTATATCTAGCAAAAAGACCTATGTTTAGCAAATGTCGCGTAAGTTAACGATACCTTTGCTTACTGACCTGTAAAAAGTGATGCTAAAGCTGTTATATATGTGCTGATTGATGATAAAATTGGTAATTGTTTTCTTGATTATGTGGCAATTTATCTTGTCAAATAGTGAAACTTGAAAGGGAGAACTGAGCATTTTGAACATGTCTTTCCTATGCATACATATATGCTGTGAATTACTCTCACCTGCCAAAAATATAGTTGTTTCTAATTGTAATATAATGCCAATAATTCCACAGCACCAGCAACTAAATTATAATTCCAAAAGAAACAATGTCCCATTACCCTTACACATAAGAACATCAGGTGCGAGTTACCAAAAGATCAACAAACCAAATATAGCATGAAGAGCTTTTGCTTCATCATCATAATAATAATAATAATAATAATAATAATAATAATAACAATACTTTACACAATCAATCAATAAATAAGATAGTGGCAGCATTTGAAAATTGTAAATAAGGAAAGAAATTTAAACCAAAAAAAAAAAAGTTAGAAGTGCCACTGCACGGAAGAGAAAGAAAATGGAGTTATAGTATGATATACTAATGCATTACTCGTGCGATGCGCAGAAGAAAAAGATTAATTTTTTTGTCGGCGACTCTCATTGGTTAATCGCTAAAAGAAAGAACTGTGCCACTGTTTTGTAATATTTTGGGAGGTGAAAAAGCTACAACACTCACATAGAACTTCGTAAGTATCAACCACAAACAAAACTCTGCAATTAAAAAACATCAATCATTATGCAAATCAAATATAGTTATGTACTCAATAATTGATTATTTTCATATACAGCAATGCATACAGTAGCAAAAGTGATGAGAAGCAGATTGTCTTACCAAAAAGAAATCATCAAAAAATGAGTAAAAGTTCATGCTCTCAATACTATCCAGAACAATTACCAGCAGTTGATACGTTCAATCAACAATAAGATATCTTCATATACAGCAATGCATACAGCAACAATAGTGATGAGGTGCATATTGTCCTACGAAATATAAATGATCAAAAAATGAGTCAAAGTTCTTGCGCTCAATACTATCCAGAACAATTAACAACACCCTACAAAGGCAAAAGAAAAAAATGAAGAAGAAAAAACAAATATATACGCTAAAAAAAACCTTCTCCTCTATATTAGTCTTCAATACTTTTCATTGATTCAACAATACTACAAAATAAAATCAATTAAAATACATGAAGAAAAAAGTAAATTTTATGCTTAACATGAAGGCAGTAATCAGACTAAATAAATACGAAAATCAGAAAATATATCAACACCCTTCTATAATAATAAAAAAATTGTATCAAATATTTGTTGTTTGAATTGAGTGTCAATAAGTAGTAATCATTGGAGAGATAAGTTAAGCACATACCAAGCATTTGCTTTACTATGATTCTGCAGAATCAAATCAACTACATTAATTTCTGAAATACTTCCTTGTAGACAGTGTTAAATGTGCTATTTGTAACATTCTTATTATCATCAACTATTAAAATTTTCAATCCTTGTTTGCTCTTTACTCTTGATAGTAATATATAATTGCCCATGAGTGAAGACAAGCTCAGGGAGATAAACACCAACATGAGAAAGTGATTGTCCTTGACTCTTATTGATAGTCATTGCAAATGAAACGACCATGGGAAATTGTTTTCTTTGGAAATTTACAGGAAATGCATGGCTGGATGGGCTCATCGTCATTCTAGGTATTAGGACTGTTTATCTTATATTGCTTCATGTGAGAACAGTTGCCTCAACAACTCGGTTGCCTAATCTTGAAATAAACAATCTTGTGTCGTTGCATAAACCTCTTGTTTTATCAATATTTCTCAACAACATAACAAGCACATTATGGTTAAGAATTCCTGAAACATGATAAGGTATTTAAAATCTCATAAGAGAATTCGGCATCCTCGAATTCAGAATTATTATCTTGCTTCAAAACATTTTCTTCACCTGGAATCAAAGACATTAGGAGCTCGTTTAACATGACAACATCTACCAATTTAGGGGTTAGAATTGCACGTTCTTTAAAGAACAGAACGTGGGATCTAACAAATTATCCAATACTTTCGGGTACACAAAATCAATCAAATCCGAGAGTGAATGTTCTGATTCTTTAATTAATAATCCATCTGGAATTGTGATCATAGATTCTCCATCAACATCATTATCCCCTACTTTAAGAAGTCATTTAGAAAAATCTTTTACCTCCGTCAAATTTTGAATGCCACCTTTTGAATTTAGACGCATATTCTTGGTCAAAATTAATAACTGACAATGAGATAGTGGCACCATGTGAAAACTGTAAATAAGGAAAGAAATTTAAACCAAAAGAAAGAGAGTTAGAAGCGCAAGAAAGAAAATAGAGTTATTGTATGATATATGTTAGAAAGTAAAAGGATTCTTTTTCCTGGGTGTAATATATATTTTTTATGATAATAGCTCATGCAGGCCTAACCTAGATTCTTTAACTGGCTATCCAAGTGGGCCCAAATCATTTTGTTTCGGCTGAAACTATTCGGGCGAAGACTAACAATCTTTGGGCCAACTAGTCTACGCACAGAGCATTGTAGGTTTGGGTAGTCAAGCCCATCCACTCAGGGCACAAAACCTCAACACTTCTTTTTATATAAACCCAACACCGTGTACAGTAACTCTACATTTTGTGACCAATATATTGAAGTTCATTGGATTCTCTAGCCGAGGGTAATCCATTTGGTTGTTGTACATAATGCTACTTTCCTGAAATTGACAGCTGAGGCCTGAGGGCCCCCTTTTACTTTCCAATACAGTTGGTTCGTCAACATGGATATACTTTTGGGTGCAACTAGAGTCTAGAGTATATATTCCTCTTTTTACAAAATATATATATACTCTAGTGAATTAATGTCCGAGGAAAAAAGAACAAAATATTTGTCGTCCGTCGTGGTTGGTTAATCATACTGTAAACCTTATACTTACAAAAATTCGTGTTGCTATCTTGTTTTATATTTCAGGTGGAAAAAATTACAGCATTGACACGGAACATTACAAATATCAACCATAAACAAAAATCTGCTATCCAGAGTGATCAATATTATGCAAATCAAATATAGCTATCTACTCGATGAGTTATGGAAAAAATAAATACGCCATAGTTGACTATGTTAAAATGAGGATGGCTAAAAAAAATGCATACAACTTATTGCTAACTATAACAATCACTAATAAAAATCAAGGTAACAAACAGACCAAACAAATATGGAATTAAAAGATCAGCTTGTACCTATAACAAGAAAACGCTATTAATTCAGTATCATTCTGTAGCAATCATTGGAGGGATGAGTTCAACACATACCAAACATGTGATTTTCTATGTTTATGCATTACCACGAACATCCTCTTCTACCATCATATTTATGCCTACGATACAAAATGCAAATGCTTATTAAATAAATTACGCTAATATGTTAACACCCAGAAGTAATAGTCTCAGAAAAAAAAATGGGTTATTTTTTTTTAGAACCCAAAAATCATTGTCTGAAAGGGATTTGAAAGCAAATTAATCAAATGGTCATGTATGAGTCATATTTTTTGCTTACACTGGAACAAATGTGTCTAAACAGCATCAAATCAATACACATGCTAAAAACTTATAACAATAGAAAGAACCCACGATGATAAATTTTTAAAAAACAACAACATACATTCGGGTCCACCGAAGACTTAAAGAATGAGGTGACAATAGTTTCGCTACTTCAAACACTCAAAATCATTGTTATTAAAATCTCGATTTATCACTACGATTTTACGTTTTTACGATTTTTTTTCATCAAAACTATTTTACTAATATTCCAAACGCTTTTACGTTTTTACGATTTTTTTACATTACGATATTACATTTTACGATTTTTTAATCCCCTTCCAAATTTACTTAAGATCTCGATTTTAACAACATTGCTCCAAATTGTTTTTTTTTTATGTTGACCTTAAATAACATGGATTTTTCATTAAGAACGTTAAGTTTTCTTAGATAATGTTCCAAATCAGCACCCTACATAAAAAACTCCTTCAAAGTTAAGTATAACTTGTGCGATGCACGGGAAAAAAAGAAATCTGTTTGTCTGTCTCGTAAAAGTTCATGCAAATCATAAAAATAAATCTTTGCATTTCATTTAAATCAATATTGTTGGCTACCTAACTCCAACTTTTTGTACATATAGAGTTGACAAATTTTTGAGTTATTATGTTTAATATAAAAGAAGAAGAGCAAAATTTTAATTTAATTACAAAAAAATATTCGTGGGTCAATCTTCCGGACCGACTCCACTTTACAACCTCTAATTGTCAGCATTATATACCAGCATATAATAAGTTTTTATATTTATCCACACGAAATTTTTTTATATTTGCATCTAAGATCTTATATTTT